GTACGCGTGAATATTATTAGGTATACGATTTTTCTCGGAAGCGCACATTAGCGTATTGTCACGAAGAGAGAAAAGTTTTTTCTGGAGTCGGGAACCTTAGCATTGATCTTCGTTTGTTTATTTGAGTTGAGGTGAATCGCACTCAACGAAGTTTTGAATCATTCTAAAAGAGTTCAGAGTTATATTTTAATTACACATTCTCCTCTCGCGTAATCTGAGGCTTTCCAGTTTGTTAACCCTAAATTCATTCAAGTATTATCGTTATATAAAAAAAATATTTTGTATTGCAAAAAAAAATTAAACAAAAAATGTAACAGACTTCAAAATCAAAATGGAACTAAATAGTAAAAAAAAATTATCTGGTTCATGATTTGGAAGTCGGGCGGGTCAAGATTGAAAGACGTATTATTATCGATCAGAAACGAAAATCTGTTTTATGTTTCAATCTGACCCCGCCCGACTTCCAAATCATGAACCAGATATTATTTTTTACTTTTTAGTTCCATTTTCGATGTTGAAGTCGGTTATATATTTTGTTTAAAAAAAATATTTCATCCATTTAAGTGAAAATTGCATCGTCCAAATAAACAATAACACAATTGACGGAGAAATCGGTGAACATACATTAAAAATATATATACAGTCGAACAAAGAACCTCCTTCTTTTTGAAGTCGGTTAAAAAAGGATTTGACGTTTGGAAACCATTTCTTGAAATGACTGCCTCTGCAGCATACGACCATTTCTGGTTTTGACCAATCTGCTTAAAACAAACTCGTATAGAAGAAAGAGTTTCTGGATTCGAACATTTCGTTTTCGTCTACTTTCAGTGCAGTCTGTTGTAAAAACATTTATAACAATGTATGAAGTAATGTTTTATGTTACTAAAGTGATAATAATTATTATATTACGAGTCTTAGAATATTTGTTTCTATTTTATGGGTTATTTTATGAAAAGTTACGCTACATTCACACGAAGGAATCAAAAAAGTTGCGTGTTGTTGCACACCGTAATAAAGGTAGTTAAATATGGAAGTGGAAAAAATCAGAAATGGTCTATACAAGAGCTAGGCTTTATAGGAAATGGTCGAATCTAGAATAGGTCATAACTAGATAATGACCAATTAAGAACTGGTCCTTAAACGTCAAACCCCAAAATAAAACAACTCTTGAGGTCTTTTCGACCGCAACATCTTCATGATAACAGAACTAGTGTAAATCCATACGCAGATCGAATAACCTACATTAAATATATAAATATCTCGCCAAACACGAAAGACTAACCATACCTAATATGTTTCACGTGCAAAGGGTTGCGTGCAACTGTTTACTGTCAGAAATAAAAAATACTTTTATATAAACTTTATAAAGGTCTCGGTCGCGGTAAAACCTTGCAGTTGTTCTAAACCGTTGCTGGTATACGACTCGATACAAAAATAAAAAAAAATGCTGAACCATACCGAAAACATACGTAATGTAGGTAACCAATGAAATGAATTAAAAGTATCGTTGAATGTAATCTCTTATGTCATACAATCTAAGATGTACTTAGTTACTTACCTAAAACAAAAGTAATTCCAAAACTACCAAAAATTTAAGATACTTAATTTAATAATACTTAATTTTTTTTTTATTTATTACTTTCACGATCATAAATAATATTTCATTGTAAAAAGTGTTTATCGTAATATCTTTATAAATATCATTGCATTCAGAAAATTATTCTCATTCCATTTCACGGCTTGTTTTCAATAAATATGAAAATCACATTTTCAATAAAAAAACAAAACCAAACGCCAAGTGACGTATTTGCCTACGCGCATGAGAATCCTTAATCGATGCAATTGGCACTCGATAAGCAATTGCACCTTGATTGCTCATTGATTATTAAACATAAAATTATCAATTATATATGTTTTTGATTAACAAACAAAGTACTCTTTTTTGGTAAATAAATTAAAATTTATAACGGTATATTAGTAAGGGTTTGATTTCGGATTTATGGTATCCATCGATAAGATCGATGTTTGCGTGATCCCTCGCCATGTCACTGCGGACTTACTTAAAGCAGTCGCTCGCAGACATTCCTACGAGGAGGCTGTGTCGTTCGCCACCAAACCAATCCAGTTCTCACTAAGGTTCGCGTGGCAGCATGTTTGGTCGGCCGATTACCGAACCAGGGGGATGAAGATGGCACTCTGCCATGCCCCTTAGTTTTAGTGTTTATTTTTTGTCATGGCCTTCTGTCCATAATGTGTAAATAGTAAAAACTTAATCGCGCGGCCATCGTGCGCGCGCGTGGTGTGACATGTGGTCGCCCACGCTCTCCGACACTTCGCGTCTTCGGCTTCACCGATGAGCTCAAATGCCCATGAGCTCCTTCCGCCTGCGTGCTTCCTGCTGAGGACTGCGGCGTCAGCCCGTAGACCCCTACCATCAGGGTGCAGCATGCTGTGACGTCAAGGGTTGACGTCCTGAGGCATCACCGCCATCATCGCTTCGTCCATCGTCGCTTCGTTCGACGAGGGAACGTGGTACCACCAGTGATGTGTGTCGAATCGTGAGCTCACGTTTTATTCCTTTTTTTTTTGTGCGCGGTCCTCATCGCCACGTGTCCCATCTGGACCTTAATGACTTTTCGGGTCGACAGATTATTATATAGCATCATTGTTATTATACTTTAAGAACCATTGTTCCGCTGCGGGCCGCCGCCATGTAACTCGCGAGATTATTTTATATAAATTGCATGTACCAAAACCGCCATCTTTGATTTGAATTCCCACGCTACGGCCTTTGTACTTCAATATTTCATTGCTGTAACCGAGAGGTTTATCCCGGTACCTCATCAGCCGGGTATTAGCTGAAATAACACTTGCTCGAATGTAAGGAGGTTCCATTCCGTTAAATAGTAAAGAAAAGTAAAATATTTCCATTCCATTTATTTTTCCATTTACAAACAGATTATCTCAATTCCATTCTTTTTCTTTTACATACGACATCCCCTTTTACATACGACAATTTTTATTCTATGGGCAAAACTGTAAATAATTTAATGTCAAAATTATGACACAGGAAGGTGGCAAAATCTTTCACGTTAAATATGATTGTACAGGAAATAACAACTTTGTTTTCAAGGATACTTAAATTGAAGCAAAAATCTACCTTATTATTTTGATATGATTGAAACAAAATAAGCTTATAGTGGGTCAGGAATCAAATTAGTACCTAATCTCTTAAGTACAAATCAATTAGTTCTACAAGATAATAATATACAAAAACTAAGTGTGAGCACAGGAGAGCTATTTTCTAACAGATCCATTCCAGCTACAATAACTAATAATCGGTGAAAACTTCACCTACATGTAAAAGGATGAAAAAAGCGTGCGTGAATTTTTGAAGTGAAAACTTCTTTAGCGGCGTTGTACACTTATTTTTGTATGGGTAAAAAATGTTAAACTCGCGTCAGGTTAAACACGGGGGCTGATCGCATCATGACACACAATAAAATTGGAAAGGTTGTTGACTTTCAATATATTGGACGAAACATAGTAATATTTTATTTTACCGTATTATAATAATAAGTCTCTATCTAGGACGTCCACGTGGTAGCTTGATTGTGAAGAAAATGCATTTTTTTACAATAGATGTCGCTAGGTGTGCTTAAATGTGATTCATGTAAGATGATTTCTTTACAATAGATGTCGCCAAGTAGGTACGCTTATACGTGATTCATGTAAGTTGATTTTTCTGAGAGATAAACTTTTTAATGTAATATAAATTGTCATGTTTGTGTACGATAGCGCAATAAATAAATATTGTATTCTACCACATACATGATAGTACTTTTATACTAATAAAGCAATTCGTTCAAAATTATTCCCTAACCATTCCAAAATATCAAAAATGCACAATGTTAATATTCAAGTTTTTACTTCTGTCGGCACTCCCGGTGTGCGACACGTCGTTTTTTTTTAATGGTATTATTCTGTTTTGAAAGATTGATGATGATGATTATTAAGTCAACGATAAATATCGACTAAAGTAGTACTTATTATGATATGCCACAGTTTAAACTCCAACAGGGTTTAAATAGAAAAGGGTTTATAATGCTATTTTATCTACACCCATGCTTTAAAACATCTTTTAAAGATTCTGAAACAGTCAGCTTATTACCAACATTAAAACATCCAATGTCATAATTAAAAAAACAATATAACACCCAAACGGGTAAAATAATATTATACTTTTCATAACAACACTCCTTAGCTCTTTAATCCCTTCTGCGCCCAGGACTTACTCATCAGACAAGCACAATTTTCACTGCTCGGTGCATGGTATTATGAATTTAAAAAAGGAACATGCATTCATATTTAGATTGTTATACACTATACCCTGTCTGCGCGTCTCGCTTCGCGCTCTTGCATTGCGCAGTCGGGTAAAAAGAATGATACGTGATTCACACGTGTTCCACTATCACAGCGCCGAAATTGTTCAGTTCAGAATCTTTAATAGAGGATTCATATTATTTGTTTAGATAAAGTCTTGTATGCAAATGTTTATATTTAGGTATTAAAACACTTGCATAAATACCTAACTATTAAACGGAATATTATTTTTCATAAGCAACTTCAACTTTCTTATTACAAATAGATATGCTTATATGGATAATATTGACCGTCCAAAAACTGTTTTAAGATTAAATAAAATGTTAACGATCTCTGGAAAAGGTCGCGCACAACATGCAAAACTGCGATAACACAAACTGTCATTGGATTTAACTGAAAGAAAGTAATGCAAGGAAATTCCAGTTGTTCTTGTAATGCGACACTGTACGTTATTTTGGCCGAGCCAGAAAAATTACAAGACCGAAAAATAAAATTAAACTTATTCGACTTTGTAAAGTATAAACTTAACTAAACAAATTAATTGGCCTACACAATTTCGCTTAATTTTATTATAGTCTGTATACTCTCCTTACTAAAATATACGTCTCAATTTTGATTTATGTCACTTCGCCAAACTAATATTTTTGTGTCTTTTGTAATCAACGGGATATTTTTTCTGCTAATTAATATTCTATCAACCATGTCTTTCCTTACCGAGTATTTCGACGAGTATCGGCCACATCCTATTAAGAAGACGAAAATGTTAGTATAATTTTATATTTTTTTATAACTTTAAATATTCATCACTATCGTCATCATAATAATTATGATGACGATAGTGATGAAAATTATTATCAGCCGTACGACGCCTACTGCCTCCCTTAAGGATATTATTTTTATACTTTTCTACAAAGATTTCTATCGTTAGATATGCCCTTACCATAGTTTGACCGCTCTGAAAGCTGACAGCACTCAAATAGGCTAAGTAGTGTATCATCATGGCTTGTCTAATCAGTGTTCATCTGAACATAGTGTCAGTTTGACGTTGGTGAATAAAATACCGCAGGCATTTTAGCGAGAAAAGTGTATTAAAATGCCGTCATGTGCCTTCCGAATGTCTACTAACAGTTCGAGAAATACAAATAAAGCTAATGGTGTAACATTTCACTCGTAAGTTTTTATATTTCATTATTTATTAAATTTATTTTCTTTCTTTGTCATAAATATTGAAATCTGATCGGACAGCGCGTGACAGAGAAAGAAGACTTGGAAAATATTGCTAGATAAAAAGAGACAACACTATTCTCTCGATACCACGCTGTGTATTTTGACGCTTGTCCGCCCATGAAGTTTCATAAAAAAAATATCTAAATTCGAAAGAACTAATTACTGTTCTTCATTCTCATTTTAGTGACGAGCACTTAGTCCTAAAATTTATCGAATCGGTAATGAAATGAAATGAAATGAAATGAAATGTCATTTATTCAGTCTAGGCTGTTACAAGCACTTGTGAAGGTCAAGAAGCTACGCCATCGGTTCGCAAAACTACGGCGGGAGATATTCTTAGGGCATAGCATTAAAATTTTACAATACTGTATTATATTAAGTATTATTATATATAGCTAATGTAATATCTTATCAATAATTGTATCTTTCGGTAAAAAATGTTGTTTGAAAGATTTCGTTATAATATCTCTATCTTTTCTTCATATCTAACTAGCAGACCCGGCGAACTTCGTACCGCCCAAAAGTCGATGAATGTGGTTATATTAATTTATATTGACTATAATTTAAATTAATGATTTTGCAGTCGCAATAAACCAAATACAAAAAAGTTAAATAGTTCATAAGGATAATATACCTCATTCATATAGAGAAAATGAAATTTCAATAACTTTTACTTTAATAGTGTATCAGCGAAATTTAAAACGGGGTTTATTGTTTGCCAGGGTTGCCATGTATTTGCCTAATAACTATTCTCCAAACACAGACATCCCTCATTCTCTCAGACCCTACGACTTCCACGGGAAATTAGTAGGCTTGCAACGAATAGTATATTCGGCAGTATACCGAATATTCGGCGAGGCCCCTGACCGAATAGCCGAATATTAGGCAAAAGTATTCTGCTGGATTTTAGCGCCAAAAACATGTACAGACTTGTTTCGCGCTCCTTTGTTTTGTTCTAATCTGCCGTCCTCAAGCTAAAATGCGGCCAAATGACAAAACCAAGTTTTGAGATATGACCAAAAACGCGCGTAAACTTTAAATTATTGCTTTTATGTAACCATTCATCACATGACTGAATAAATTAAAAACTGTTAACTTGTTTAATACAGAAAATGATTAAATTATGTACCTGTTTTATGTACCAATGACTACTTAATAAATGATTATATAAAAGAAATGAGCCTTACCCTTCTAAATTTTGATTACCACAATAATTCAAATACATAGAATCCCCCATTTTTCTAATTCAGAAGATGATTATGTACCTGTGTACCAATGACTACTTAAATGATTATATAACAGAACGGAAAATATGAATATATACGTAATCAATCGATTTTAATTTTTCATTTTACCAATTATTTCTCTATGACAAAATATATTTTTTAAGTATTCGGTATTCGGCCGAATAATATGTAGATATTCGGTATACGGCCGAATATAATAAAAGCAGCCGAATGGGCCGTATACCGAATAGTAACCGGATATTCGTTGCAAATCTAGAAATTAGTAATAGTTCTATATTTTTGGAAAATTATACCAAATGGAGTAAAATGTATGTTATAATGTAATGAAAACTGCGATATTGATATTTATATTATATGATTGATGCAGTATAGTGTTGAAGAAGTTATATCCATCGTTTTCTTACCAAAATATCGGCTAGTATTGCAACTTGTCTTATGATTACAGTATTTTCTTTAAATTATAATATCACTCTCTAAAGCGATCATTGGTGTCAATTCTGGCGTGATTCTCTAAACTTAAAACTAAATTTAAAATCAGTCTCTCCTTTTTATTCTGTATAGAGAATGACAAGGATACACTGTTGTTAAATTTAAGTTTAGATTTAGAGAATCGTGCTAGAATCGATACCATTATCTATCTATATTGTAGTAACAGATTTGCAGAAGATACAAATAAGCTTTTTGCTTTTGTGACGTGACTGAGCTGCATGGCTGAACTGTCAATTGTGGAAGAAGGCGGAATACCAAACCTAATTTATATAATGACAATCGATTTTACGCATTACTTTTTTCCGTGATTTTTCCTATATTTAAATAGTTATTCTGCTATACGGGGCGGAAAGGATTCCAAAAAATCATAATTCTCATAAAAATCGGTCCAGCCATTCTTGAGTTATAAGTGTTCTAACTAACTTTGTTTTATATTTAGATTTATCCGAGTAAACTATTGAACTTTTTTGTGTTTGTTTTATTTCGCTTGTAAAGTCCTAAATTTAATTAAGCTAGATATTCAAGATAGCCTCATTTATCTACTGTTATAAAGGCGGTACGCAGTTTGCCGGGTCAGCTAGTGATAATATAATTGCAATGTACTTACAATTTTATATTTTTAAGCGTGTAACTACTTGATGTTTAAATGTAAAGAAAGTAAAACTAGGAAAAAATCCACTCGGACCAGGCAGCAGACGGCACTCGAAACCGCACCGCTATGTACTTATTCACCACTCAACTAAGCATTTGTATTTTTCTGAATTCGAAATGTATAATAAATGAATCAAAACGATCGTCGCACATACGATCGCTGAGATTATGTAGACATTTGATTCAATCCTTTTGATCAGCTACTGTTTGCTATGTTGGTTAAAATACCAAAAAAAATATCTAGATGAGACTCGCTCGCTCGCTCGACTCAAAATATGGCCACAGTTTTTCGATGTCAGGGCATATGTTACGATTTAATTCTTTGCTTTTCTATTGTCAATGTTTTGTCAACCGTAACAGGAAGCCTAAAATTATCGTCGCCTCATAAAATATTTTTTACGTTACAACAATGTTTTATAGTGTTTCATGATTGGTTGATTTCCGCTAACCCCGCAAGGGATATTAACCTTTTTTACCGAAACCTTAGCCGTTGCCGTGCCCTTTCCATTTTCTATATACTTGCAAAGTGAATTTAATCCAATGCCATCTTCGGTAGGTGTCGTCCGGAAAACAGATGGGCTAAACTCCAAGGAACTTGGCTTGATCCTAAAAAAGGAACTCAGGATGTGAGTACAGAATAGTACAGATGAAGAACTAGGTATGCACCTAAACGATTCTCTAGCAATTCTCACTTGTGTGTTGTGTTTTTGTTTCCGGATAAAATTGAAAACATGGCAAAAACATTGTCAAATTACAATGCACTTTTTAAGTATGCGAAAATAAAAAATAAGGTTTTATCAATGAATGTAAATTATATTTATATAAAATTTTACAAGTCAAACACGCTTTTGTATTTATCTTTAATTTAAAAATGTAATAAACACTTTCATCAGAAATCCTGGACTGACGAGGAGATCGAAGAGTTCATCAAAGAAACTATGAAGAGACTGCGCGGTCAGTCGACGTACTACAACGACTACTGCTCATCCCTGTCACCAGGTGTGTTGGCTACCACCAGGCACAGCCTCTCCCACTGCAGGAGAAAGGGGTGGACCGCCTAATAGCATGGAAGGAAAGGGTGGACCCCGCAAAATCCTACGAGGGTTAAGAGAAAGGAAGAAATTTCGTAATATCATGCCACGGTTACGATTGGCTACCTTTAATAGAATTATGATAAGCTTATTGCAATAAGAGACCTCTTAAGTAATTAAGTTCTCTTAAGTAATATCCTTGATTGTTATAAACCCTACAAAACAAAAGGATGGAATTCGTAATATCTTTCCAACGTTGCGATTGCTAGCTAATCGAAACAATGGCATGATATTACGAAATTCCATCATTTATAGACTACAGGCCGGTTTTCTATATGCATCTTCAAACTTAAATCACGTAACTTCACTAAATATTTTTTCATGTCTTAATCAACCACAAAATTACAAAGTAAAAATTGTACCAAGACGTGTAGTAATGCGACTTTAAAAATCAATGTATCTCTGTAATGCTTTGATTATGTCAATAGAGAAATATGTGTCCAATACTTTTTGATATTCTATCTGTTACATGAAAAAAAGATATTCATCATCCCTATTATTTCCTACTTATAACATCAGAGGCTTGTTTCCCATCCTAAGTTCCTATTCACACTCAACATGATCCTACGCAGAATTTAAAACCCGCCCATTCGTGCCTCGCGTAAAGAAGAAGAAACCATGTTTGGATAGAGGTTCGGAGGCGGTCGAAGAGGAGGCTCCGGCGCCGCAGCCACAGAAGCTGGCCATCAAAGACACGGAGTTGATGAAGGTTGCACGAGAGCTTTATGAACCGGACTTGGATAAACCCACTCTGGAACCACTTCCTACCCATTTGAGAAGTTAGTCCTCTCATATTTTATACCCTTTTTGAAGTTATACTTCTTTAGTCGCGTTATGCAAAAATGATGAGAGTGAAATTTTAAGATGCGCGCGCATCACTGTAACACAAAATTTTTACAGCCAGAAGTTGGTCCAACTTCATGCTGTTACTTTTGTGTTTACCGCACATTAAGAAAATCTACCAACAAAATAGAAATAGAATCTCTATTTAGTGGGTGCTAACGACTGCATTGTGAAGGCCTATCAAAAGTATTTATTAATCTGGAACAACGGAACCAAAGCGCGATTCAGGAGACTACAGCGCCATCTCTTGACCATTGGTGTAGTAGAACCAAAAACCACATCTTTATTTTTTGTAATAAAGTAACAGTTATAGGTATTCATATTTATAATATTTATCCACATGTTTCTAGTTTGTATATTCGGATTACGTGTTTGAGTTTCATACAAGTGCAAATCACATATGTTTTAATAAATTATATTCAGTAGCGATTTTAATTGAATATTTTGATTATTTATTTATTTTTTCAAATTAAAACTGAACTTTATTGACTGTGTCCTTTTCCAGACTTTTTATTAATTTATTGTAATTAATTATTTGCATGCAATTAAAAACTAATTTTAAACGATGCCAAAGAAGGATAACTTCTCACGCGCCTACATAAGTACACGCACCCATTTTTTTTATAAACAAAGAATATAAGCACATGAATAAATAAGGCGCACAGACAAAGCTTGTCGCATACGCAGAATAACGTTTCTATTGGCGGCGACAGGCTACCAACAGTGCCAGTGCGCGTGTGCACTGCATGAAGCTTTGCCTCTGTGCCTTCTTTACTCATCGGATATAAGCTTGAAATAGCAACCCAGTCTTTTGTATCTGTTAATCGAATCACAAATATTGTAATTTGTATAACTAGTAGGTATGTCATTTATCAATACATGGTTATTAGTTTTTACTCAAACGGTTCGAAAATTCCAAAGAATTTGTAGGACAGTCCAAGTCACTTGAAACTTGAGATCTTTGTTTGAGTTCGAGACATGCGTTTTAAGAAAGATCCTTAGCGGATTTTAACCCTGCTCCTATCACAGGAAGTACCACTACGGATAAACTCCACCACGGAACCCTTAGCACGAACCAAAATTTAATTCGAATAGGTACTTAAATTCTCGCTACGCGTCCAACGCGTCAAATGTCAAGAAGTTTTGTTTGAATTTTGAAAAATCCACAACGGACGTAACAGACGTTGCAGAAGATCCAAGTGAAATATAACTTTTGTATTTATGTTATTGAGTAAGGTTTCCAGGGTTCCCCGAGGCAGGGGATAGAATAAACAGGATTGGAAATATACTTATACATGCGACGTCTTTTTATTTAAGCCGTAGTAAACATCCACACTCTACCTGATGTTAAGCGTGAGTGGACTTCAGTCGCGGATATAGCTGATGCGACAAAGAAACATACTGCACTCGGCAACCTCATCCCTGGTTTTACTTTATAGGCCTCTATAGCAGTGGCGGACTAACAGGGGGGCGGAAGGGGCGGCCCGCCCCGGGCCTCCGATTTTGGGGGCCCCCAAATGCCTCCGCGTTCCCCTGATCGCATCCTAAACTAGACTTTAAAAATGTGCTTAGTACCTACATAATTTCATCAAGATCAAAACACTACAGCCATCTAGACTTTTTACGCGGTACTAATATTCTTTTAACTTCGCTGAACGCGTCCAATACGCTGGGGGAATTCCCGTCTCTGTAGCGGGTACTTCCTCAGGTACCCCTGAATGAATGAAGTACAAATAATTCACTCTTATACGCCTACATTTAATAACATTCACTATATTTACGTCGAAAAATAAACATTGGCCTCATTTAAAATCCGTTCAAAGTAACCTCATTAAAAAGTGTAATAGTGCTTTTGATTTTTGTTGCGGTATAAAAGTAAATGACTTTAGATTTGAGTTTGTGCATTTTTAAGTATTTGGAAAAAGTAATTCTTCGTATAATTTAGCCTAGAAATCATAATCTGTAGTTTCTAGTCAATATGCACCTACGTTTCTAGTCAATATGTACCATATTGTAGGTATGTATGTTTATTAAGCTTTAATAATTTAATTGAAATTTAAATTTCACTCGCCAGATTTTAACGAAACAAAGAAACTACATTTTTTCTTTAAAACGGGGGGGCCTCATTTTGCCGCCCCGGGCATCTGACGAGCTTAGTCCGCCACTGCTCTATAGGACTCTCAACCAAAACCAAAAGTTTAGCATACCTGCCGAAGAACGAATAAGCTAATTGTTCGTGCTTGGGGTACTGAGATAATATTTTATTGGTTTCTTGCCATACGTAACCAATGTCCATTGCGAAACTTTTTAACGGAACGAACTACTGCGACATCGTTCTCCTCAACCACAGACCACAGACTTTCTATGTTTTGTTCTCAACAAATGTACCTATTTATGTATATCATAACTCGACTACTATAACTGTTGATTGGATTGTTGCACTGCTTCCTTTGGTTTGACGTCAAAGCAACACGGGCGAGTACGGTCGAGTTTATACAAACCTTCAACACGCCCAAATAACGGCACGTTTGAATAATCATAATATTTAATTGGTATTTCACGATTGACGCAACAAACAACACGAGAAGTGTATAGGTAGTTTTCAGAAATGTGGAATTCGGTTCACTCGACTACAGACGCCATCTCTTTTTTGAATATCATAGTAGTAGCGGGGATTTAGTGCTCCAACACAAAACTACGATCTGATGAGATGGGATGCGAAGTGGCACTATGTTATGTATGTATGTTATTACATACATAACATAGTGCCAGCTAAGTCATAGCCGATAGTTGGTTTTTTGCTGCCTTATACATTTGACCTTATACATATAAAGGGCTTAGGTATGGAAGCTCTCGTTACTCGTACATTACCGAGTGACTACACTACTCGGAGAACCTCCTGATTTTGTACACGGAATAACCATTATTTTGAACAAAATTACAAGTAATGTAGGAAGTATAATATATTTACACCCTCGTACAAAACTGAAAATGTAATCGGCAAAGGAAAAATATTTCTTATAACATTACCCGGTTTTGTACGAAGAATATTTTTATCATTGTACATTGCTGGTCATATAACTCGGTAATGTACGAATAACAAGACTGGGAGTACTTCACAAAGTGCAAGGTTACCCCATAAGTTATTCTGCCGCTCTTGAGTAATTCTCAAAATCGCCGCTTGGGCAGCTATTATATATAAGCTGTTGGGTACATGCATCCCTATAGATGGATTAAGGAGTTTTGGCCAATGCATGACCCACTACGCGGGTTCTGTGCGGATTAGTGGGTACTACTAGCGGGGACTGCAGATCTGCAGACTGCAGAGCCGGGACCAACGACTTAACTTGCCTTGCGACGCACGGTGAAGGTCCAGATAACAAATTTTTGGTTACGGATCCGATGGCCGGCCGTTGTGAAAGTTGCTTAACTCTACGATCGTAGAACTTGTGCGATCAGGCTCCTCCTCCACCTTAAATGAATATCATCATCATCAGCCTATTAATGTCCCCACTGCTGAGGCACCGGCCTTCCCTATGGATAGAATAGGGATATTGGCCCATGGCATCACGGTAGGGTTTCAGGACTCTGCGGGGTAGGCGCTTGGGTTTAAGCCGGCAAGGTAATAGCTGGAGCGGCACACCTTATGCCGCATCATTTATCTTCGCTACTGAACTTTACTTACACTTAAATCAGGTGAGGGTTGACTTGTTGCACCACGTACCAGAATCAAGACGCAGGTGTAGGAGAGGCGTTAGAGAATGTTTTGTTTTTTTTCCAAGATCCAACCTATAGGTTACTATTAATACCATAGCCTGATTTCCCGATAAAGTTAATCCATTGTTCATGTTTCCTTCTAGTCGCCGGCTACGTGCGCAAGTCTTTGTACCGCACCGGAATCAGCGACTACCAGGGCGGCATAGCTCGCCTGGCATACGAGATGGTGCGTGATGACCGCATCCCGCGCTACAGGGCTCACAACGGATGCCGTCCGCGCTGGGGGCTCCCGCCAGAGGGCACCAGGCAGCCGGAGCTCGACGGCGCGCCATACGACGGCGAAAGGCTTTACTAAACAATAAATACCTCGTTTTTATCACGTGCTATTGTTCATTTACAACGCACAACCGCTACCTTAAGTAATCAATAAGAAGACTTTAGAAACACTTTTTTTCTGAAAATCATAATTAACGTGTCAGATATTGACGCCTCCTTGTGACCACAGATATGTAGCAAGCTACTTGTGACATCATACTTCGACGTTTGACCCATAAATTTAGGGTCTCCCTAAGGGTAGCTACACTCATAATCGGACCGGCATTAAAAGGCAGAGAGACATTCGAGATATAGGTAGGTATTTGAAAAACCATTGCTGTCGCACATTGGCAAATACCGTGCAAGAAAGACAACAGTAGCAAACGCTGAAAATTGCAAAATTCGAGGTCTGGCTCTCGACGATCTCCTCTACGAAAATTAGATATTATGTAAAAAAGCTACCTGTAGAATAATGAGTAGTTTTATTTACTAGGCCTCTATGTTTTGTTTTTTTGTATATGTACAGAGATCAAAAAAAGTTTGCGATCTATTGAAAAATAGATTGTTTTTGTGTTACATAAGACTTTTTTGTAATTTCTTTATCTGATAAGATTTTAAAATTTAAAATTAGAATTAGAACGTGAAACAATTAAAAAAAATGGGTGCGTGTACTTATGTAGGCGCGTCAGAAGTTATCCTTCTTTGGCATCGTTTAAAATTAGTTTTTAATTGCATGCAAATAATTAATTACAATAAATTAATAAAAAGTCTGGAAAAGGACACAGTCAATAAAGTTCAGAAAAAAAATAAAAAAATAAATAAATAATCAAAATATTCAATTAAAATCGCTACTGAATATAATTTATTAGAACATATGTGATTTGCACTTGTATGAAACTCAAACACGTATTCCGAATATACAAACTAGAAACATGTGGATAAATATTATAAATATGAATACCTATAACTGTAACTTTATTACAAAAAATAAAGATGTGGTTTTTGGTTCTACTACACCAATGGTCAAGGGATGGCGCTGTAGTCTCCTGAATCGCGCTTTGGTTCCGTTGTTCCAGATTAATAAATACTTTTGATATTATAAATATGAATACCTATAACTGTTACTTTATTACAAAAAATAAAGATGTGGTTTTTGGTTCTACTACACCAATGGTCAAGAGATGGCGCTGTAGTCTCCTGAATCGCGCTTTGGTTCCGTTGTTCCAGATTAATAAATACTTTTGATAGGCCTTCACAATGCAGTCGTTAGCACCCACTAAATAGAGCTTCTATTTCTATTTGTTGGTAGATTTTCATAATGTGCGGTAAACACTAGAGGTGGGTAATATAGCTTTTGTCTGAATCAAATCGAAACTATATATCGATATTCGATATCGGATTCTGAAACTATATATTTTGATATCGGTGATATCGCTGTCGACCATATCAATCAATCAATAAAATATCAATTACAGGATAACAATGGAATGGAAAACTATATTTTCCTGGTACTGATACATAACCGTTATGTGAGTTTTAGATACATCAACATCAGGTAGGACTAGGAGTTAGATAATGCAGTATTTATGCATGTATTTAAGGGATTAATTAAGTTGATTTCTGTTTTTTTACAGGAATATTTGTTAAAAATATAGATAATAAACTAAACATAAAAAAAACCGGAAGATAAATAATACACCAACAATACAAAATAATACGCTAATGCAATTTAATTGAACGTGTTTGGACGTTCGAATCTACGAAATGATAAAAATTCAAATCCGCACCAAATTTCTTTTGCTAGGGTTCAAGGATAGAGGTCAACGAGAGTAGAAATGAAATTGTGTCAAAGCTCACCATTATTCCTTAAGAAATATGGTTAACGATTTAATCAACAAAAATATTAAAAGTGTATAAACTATTTTATTACGATGAAAATAAAGTGAAAAATTGCAGTATGCGTTGCATCGTAACTATTGCTGTTTCACTCTCATCTCATCATACGCTCTCCCTCTACTCCCACTTGGCATTGGTCGCGCTCATATTCCATTGTGATACGGTTCAATATACTTTAAACAGTCCTATATACGATACAGTACTGTCAACGCGTATCGCATTCCCAATGCAATATAATGTTTTGCCAAAATATATAGTTTCAGAACGCATTGATATCGGATTTGACGATATTGATGCAATATACGTTTCAATATCTATATACGATTTGTATCGCCCACTCCTAGTAAACACAAAAGTAACAGCATGAAATTTGTCGCTAAAGCGACCAACTTCATGCTGTTAATATTTGTGTTACAGTGATGCGCGCGCATCTTAAAATTTCACTCTCATCATTTTTTCATAACGCGCCTAAAGAAGTATAACTTCAATAATTCAATTATTTTTCCATATAAAAAGACATGCAATCCAAGCTGACGCTTATTCAGAAATCTGACTTAGTCAATGTTATCGAATTGAAAATATTTTTTCACGGTAAGTTGTGATTTAAAAAATGCCACGAGGATTATCAGATGTTTTACGAGCCAGAATTTTAACTTTGAGGGAAGAAGGCTATTTAGTCTACGAGAGAACTAGCACGCAGAGTTGCCATATCCCAATTCTGTGTAGTAACCACGTTGCAGAGGTATCACGGCATGGGTAATTTAGCTGATCAACCCCGCAGCGGTCGCCCAACTGTTTTGACAGCTGCTCAGAAGCGCTATACTGATAAACCCACATTATAAAAACTATTATTATTTACTTGTGATTTGTCATCAATTGAACATTTCATGAAAAAATAAAAACAACATTAAATTCGATTATCTTATACACTTCCGGAGACATCTATCGGCCCATCTAGCATTTTAAGTTTTGACGGTCCCTAGCTAAAAATAAATGTTACATTGAGCTAAAAGTTTATTACATACGTATCTCTTATCTATTAGACAAGTCCGTCTGTCTGTGGTACTGTTTCAGAGGCCAAACCGTAAGAGATAGATAAAGAGAATATTTAAGTTATAAGTTAAGAATAGTCTGATAAGACTATAAACCGGATTTGAGTAACGTAGCACTTCCGGTTTTCGAGAAATCAGGTTTTGGTGAACATTTGGTTCACTGGTTTGCTAGTTTCGAAGCTAATTTAGTAATCATATTTTCGTGTGTTCTTTAAATTATTACTCAAACAAACATTTATATTTTTGCCTCAGACCTTTGAAACTTATTACATTATTTTTTAATGAAACGAAGTTTTATAAATTATAATTATTTATTTACTTCATACTATCATGTCAGTCATTTCCACAATGAAATATGAAACGTATTGTTGCTAATATTATCAACACTTAATTGATAATAAATTTACCCAATAGAATGTACTAATACATTTTTCATAAAAGATCCCAAGTACCAAGTGCCACGTAATTCCACAACATTAGATGTTTCTAAGAATACAAAGGATTTAAAAATTTATAGGACCGATTTTATGTTGACGTCACACAGATCTCTTACAAATATAAGCTCTTATTTAAAACGAGACGTTTTTGAACGAAATTAATCCGACAATAACGTAAAATGCAACATATGTTAAGACACTTTGGATAACTGTGTAGTAATGATAACAATCATTTAATTTTAATGATGTTCAACCGTCTTAAACCAAATTGTGTTCAGTTTGAACACACTACTAACCTTAAGAACTAAATTACATAAAATGTGCTCATTCATTACTTTCAATTCATTTATTAATCTTAAAAAAAACACTAAAATAGCTTACTAGTATTTGAGAAATAATATAGAGGTCACGAAATGGTACTAAAACATATTTTTGTTGTATTAAAAAGGTATATAAGTAAAATATGTCAAACAAGATTTAAATTTAGATTTAAAGGACGGAGTTTTGTAATAGTTATATATTGTCTGATGATGCTTGTTTTAAACTTATTTTGAAACTAAGCAACTATTACAAATGCTTCCGCGGATGTCAAAAATCAATCGATTTTAATCGATTGAAAAGCAGGCATCAAGAAAACTAACAACTCGAAACCTGATACCTATTTAGACATTTCACACAGATTCATATTTTAATACAAGAATGGGATCAAGTACAGACAAGCACAGACTAATGTCCTTAAAACTGCCTGATTTCTCCAACTGAATTTGAGCTTATGTCTGATTTAAGGCTATTAATCTATTGAAAAAAAATCAGTTTGTGTCAACTTGGTGTGTGGCTGTAAGAACAGTTAATCTGCGTCAAATAAAGAGGAACTTGACACAACATACGAATCGTTCTGTCAAGTGAATTCTTCTTACTCGATACAATTCATATACCAATGATATTCTTCATACATTATTATAATATAACCTTGTATACAGACGACAAAATAACAAGGTCATCATTGGAAATTCCACGAAACAAAAAGCAAATTGTGTGTATAGAATTCGATTCTTTGAAATGCTAATGACACTATAGAATAATTTTCTAAATACTTATCTTTAAAACATGTTATTAGCAATCAATAAATTGGAGTATAAGATTTTAAAACACTAATGCCACATTATGCGGGACTGGAAATATTAAAATAATTTAATTACGCCAAGTGACAAATTTTCCTCTTTGTAAATAGTTGGTCAAATCACTAAGTTTTAAGATGCACATTGTCCATGAACAAACAATTTTTTTTAAGCATGTAACTGCTTGATGTTTAAATCTAAAGAAAATATAACTAGAAAAAAATCCAAGCGGACCAGGCAGCAGACGGGGCTCGAACCCGCACCCTTCGCTATCCGGGCGAATGCACTGTCCAATTATTAGGACTTAGACTTATATTTCTAGTTATATTTTCTTTAGATTTAAACTAAAATTGTCTTAATATAATAGCAAATAACAGATTTTATATTCTTCTATCGCTCCTGGTCCAACATCGAATACAAAAAGCAAATGTAAAATAGCTTTAACCTTTGGACACAAATATATTTTAAAAACTCATTACCCTAAATTTTATTGAAGCAAAACGAAATAACAAAAGATTCCTTTTAAATTCAAATATATATAATGTTCCTTCTTTGATTTGCTAAAGATACGATAGATTCTTAAACATTTTTTGGTCACAATAATTTAATATCCATCCGATTATATCATAACCAAAACCTATTATACTTTTAATGTCCAAAATCCGGTATTACTTATAGTAATTTTGATCCACATATTAATCCATTTCATATTGAACTAACTGACATTACTAAAATTACATACTTTTTGCGTTATAAACATCTGATTTTTATAGATATTATTATTTGATGCTATCCCTTTTATTTCTTAATAAAATTCAAAAGGTCCACGTTAATCAGAAATTAAATTGTCCTTAACACGTCACACTCAAACTAAAGTTGTTTGATGAACTTCTATCCCCAATGCTCATCACTTTCAATATGTATTTTTGTGAAATGTAACATTTTATTACTTTTTATTCTATTTGACTACAGCTGTTGTTATGAATTCATAAATTATGTATAAAAGGGGTTTACAGAGTTCATGTCATTTTCTGTGCTACTAAATCTGGATTACAAACTACCTTTGAATAGTGTTAAAATGAAACCTGAAGATAATAATATTTATTTCAAACTTCAATGATATGTTAATATAAAATAATATAGTTTATTATTAATCGATAGTTTAAAATTATTTTTATATAGTATCAAGGCAAAATCTGATAAAAAAAAATCTTTCACCATGAAAAAGCTACCTTATTTCTCATCGACATAGGCTATATTTGATCACATCAAAAATAATTTTAGCCCAACATATCTCAGACAGTTAATAATAAAATGTTACATAATCTATCACAGGCTGTGAAATTAAAAGTTCGTTTCTCCGTTTAGTCACATTGAGAGCAATAGAGCTGAAGTTCCTTGAACATAGGCTATATTTTATCGAGTCAAAATAAATTCTGTACAAATCCGGGTGGACAGTTAGTAATAAATGTTACATTATCACAAACACTATGAAATTAAGAGTTCGTTTCTCCTGTCAGAGTCAAGTTTAGAGCGATCAACAGCACAAGGCATAGGGCTAGAATTGAATGTAGACGCGATCAGAATCTAGCTCTTATATAAACGGCGGCAACGTCGTGATTCGCGTATCCTAGGCGTTTGGCGTGCTTGAATATCTCGTTGGTAGTAGCTGTAAGGGGTAAGGATTGTTCTAGGGCGTCGCCTAAACCGAGAGCTAGCTTTAGGTCTTTCTGCATGTGGGTGAGCGGTTGATGAGTCGAGTACGATGACTCGATCATCGCTGTGGAAATAAAGGTTATTAGTAGATACATGTAAAGAAAATAAGAAGACCCATGAGGGGTAGCAACGAAAAATCAAAATACACACATCAAAGAAGTTTAAGCAACATCATTTATGCAAGTTGCAAATTTTATCCGAATAGCTACTATATAATAGCTATAGCTACGAAAAATAGAATTGATTTATTATTAACAAAAGAAGATAAGTAAATATTATAAATCGGTCAAAAGTTCATACATGTTCATGTCGCTTAGACTCTTTTGATGAGTATATTAAACGAAAATCGGTAACAGAAAATCGTCGTTTGCGACTTGTTTTTGATTGTATTATTGTCTTAAATATAAAAAAAACATTTGATTTTCTACCCTATTATTTTAACTTTTTTAGTACCCCCCTACAGTTATCCGGCTGGAAGTGTCTAATATTATTATTACCTATACTCTCGTGCACATGTTTAAAAATATCACTTTTAATTAAGTTTTGTTCGCACGTTCCCCTACTAAAGTTTTTCTAACGCTTAGGGTAAACCGTATGACTATCATAAAAAGTGTTCGCAGGCAACCTTTTCTTTAACTTTGTACTCTAAAAATCAATTACCGATGTATAGTGAATTTAGTTGGCCCAGTCCTATCAATCAAAATCTTATAGATTAAGCTTTTCAGAAACCCTATTACTGACGGAAAGATTTTACACTATCAAGTAGTTTAATAAAGCTGTCCCTCTTTCTTTAAGTATGAGGTGTGGTGAGGCTAAAGGTGTTAAAGCAAGAACATACAATAAATCGGCTTGACTAAGAGCTTCATAAAGTATCCTATTACTGACAGGATAGAGTAAATTTTTAACTGTATTAACACTTACCTCTTCCTTTAATTTAAAGATTTGGTAAAGCTAATGGTGTAAGCGCCAGAACATCCAATAAATAAGTAATTAAGAAAATACCCTATTACTCGCGGAATGGAGTTCACTTTACACTCTCAAGTAGTTAATCGAAGCTTACCTCTTCCTTTAAGTATAAGGTGTGGTGAAGCTAAAGGTGTTAAAGCCAGAACATCCAATAAATCTGCTTGACTAAGTCCCGCACGATCTGCTAAGGCCAATCCTTCAGCCAGTGCCGCTAGAGATACTCCACTCACTACTTGGAGTACTGAGTTCATTTTGGAAGCGTTGCCGATGTCGCCTGCAAACGAATTGTACAGGTGGAGATCGTTTTATATAATATAATTGTACATAATATAATTGTACATAATATATATAGTTATATTTTTAAGCATTTAACTGCTAGATGTTTAAACCTTAAGTTTTTTTTTGGAAAGGTATTTATTCATTTGACATTGTGGGTTACCTACAATGCGAAGAGATGGCGCTACCTAGCAGCCTAAGAGATACTAGAGAAAATTAAACACGGCCATTAGGGCTGCGGTAGCGTAATGGTCAGTGCTTCCGCCCGGACAGCGGAGATCAATCAACCCGGGGCGGCAGAATTCAAAATATACCCCTGAACATAGGCTATGCTTATTTGTATAAAGTGTCAAAGATTTAATTACTGTGATTGTAGAATGATGACATAACATTATAAAACCTAAGCGAAAATCGGAACGAAAAAGTTATAAGAAATAAAATAAAATTATACTATACATAAAGGTACTAAGGTAAAGGTATTAGGTAAATGGTAGGCCAGCCAACTTTTCAATAGTATTTCCGAAAAAAATAGACCAACCCATGAAGTGTCCCTCTGTCAACTTTATTTCTTCTATCTATTATGAATGAAGTTGTGTCATCATCATCATCAGCCTATTAATGTCCCCACTGCTGGGGTACAGGCTTTGCCTATGGATGGAATAGGGAGATTGGGCCATGACCCACCACGCGGGTCCAGTGCGTATTGGTGGGTGCTAACGACTACAGATGCAGCCGGGACCAACGGCCTTCCGAAGCACGGAGGAACTCGAGATAGAAGATTTTTGGTCACCAATCCAATGACCAACCACTGCAAAAGTTGCTTAACTTCAACGATCACAGCCGAACGCGCTAACCACCCGCGCCATCGAGCTCCTCAATGAAGTTGTGTAACTCGTGTCAATAAAGAAAACAATTGAGAATGACGACGCAAGACATTCTGTTCCTCTCACACATGCTAACCTAAGTAAATTACGAGATAGAGAGGTAGATTTCTTAACCGACATGAGTTATACCTTAATATTACGAAAGAGTAGGAAATACCAATTTATGATTGCTATGATTTGTATTTAAAGTGAGTTCTTGTGGAATAAAAATACATATTTTTAATTGATATTACGCTTAACGTTTACTAGCTAATTAAGCTTTGCGATGATAAGTAAAAAAACTGGTAAGAAACCTGCCCTGTAAAAAAGCTTACTTATTATCGAAGTGCAACAATAAAATAACATGCTTAGTGCCTAAACCAAACATTACTAATCATGAAAGTGCAATTTAGAGCAAAATAACATGCTTACAAATCGACTGATGGCACTGATTATTTTTTTGTAGATAGGGTTATATCTGTTTTTAATATAATTTACTAACATAGCATTAAGTATTGTATACAAACACATGGATCTATGTTGTCCGAATAATAAATGATTTGAATTTGAATTTTAAAAATTGTCCTGTAACAAACGGTCCTCTTATTTTCGATTTATTGTAAAGCTTTATTCAAATCGCCAATCATAATTTTCTGGCAATCACTTAAGATTAGCTTTAAATAATTTAGATATTTCTAATGTAATTATCATATAAAAATAAAAGGTACTGGACACAAAGTTTTTCTTTTACGAATTGAGATAGTGAAATACGACCTTATATCTAAAGGACGCTCAGATTTGTCAAATGACACTTGAAATTAACGAAAACAAAATATTAAATCAAATAAATTCCATTATTATAACACATTTTACTTCAATAAAGAGGAATAAGCATGGTTGTAAATAGCAAAATACTAGCATGTGCGAAATGCAAAGCTTATCTAAGGTACTACTCACTACACAGAAGATTGGATTTAGAGAATTTCAGGCCCAGTGCCTGATTCCGGCAAAATTCTCTAAATCCAAAGCTAAATTTGACAATAGAATATCCTTATCTAGTTATATAAAATATAAAAAGGATAGCCTGTTGTCAAATTTAGTATTAACTTTAGAGATCAGTTGATCTGGAAGAATTTTGTCAAGAAGATGTAGCAACTTTCCAAACTAGAGCTTTAAGCTCTAGAGCGGAGCGTTAAGATAAATCTCTCATTTGAATTTTCACTGTATAAACCAAAAATTTACTGAAATTTCAGTGTCAAACTAGAACTATAAGCACTATCAGTAAAATATGCTACCAGCACAGACTTTCATGCAAATTCAGCATGCACACTTGTATTTTTTTTTTATAGATGGGTCTGACAAATGACTCCACCCCACCTAATGTTAAGTGACGGTGAAGTCCAGACACGAAGATAACTGGTACAGCAGTTCTACCTGCCACACCAGCCATCTTCACCCTGCTGGCCTGCATGTTGCTCCTTCACACCTCTTTTAAAGGATCCCAGGTTGTAAGAGGCAGGGAACACAAGAGCGGGCAGAGAATTCTATTTACGGATAGTGCGATAAAGAAATGAGTTACCATCCTTCTTTGTACGCGTTGGAATAATTGCCACAGTTAGTTGGTGGCAGAGTAGGCCAGCGCGCGTGGTCTAAGATAAAATAAATCCGTTTTCAAAAGGTGAGAAAATATTGAAAAAATTCGAGGAAGATAGTAAAAACGTCAATTTAGTTTTCCCATATAAACTGTTCTATCTTCTTTCCTGTCAAATATTTGACGTTCGTCCCTTTTGGTACGGTAGACTCGGGTCCGTCATTTCTTCAAAATTATTATAACCCGTACTAAATACTACGCGGGGTCAACTAGTATAAAATAATAAAGAAACATAACGTTAGGCACCATTTACTACCACCACCACCTACATATTGTTAAGAGTAAGCGAAGTTCAGCCATTTAGAGAAAAAAAATATAATGATATTTCTCAAAACAAGCTAAATCTTGCTCAATCACTCAGAGCATTTAACTGATATACTTTTAAATATAACAAGATTTTTTTTTTAAGTAGAAAGAAATCCTCTCGCTCTAAGATCTCTGTCTCAAAGCTGGACTGAGTGCATTATTTTCTAGTTTTTTTTTCTTTTCATTGAGGCCCACTTGTAGCAATTTCGCTAAATCTCGATTCGACTAAACAACTTTAATCCATCCAACTAGATTTAATCCATAGAGCCATGAAAAAACGTCAGGGTCAATTTGACATATTGTATGGGTTAAATCTAGTTTTACTTAAATTGAGATTTAGCAAAATACCTGCAAGTGCGCCTTATAAAGCTAAATCTAAACATTCGCACATGCTAGCAATACAAAAGTTTAGTGTCATAATGGCAACTTTCTTCGCGCCAAAAATCGGAGAAGCTGACTACTACCAAGGTAAAAGGAGTTCTTGCTCATCGCTTTGAAGCATGACTGGCAGTCGTCGAATAAAGTCCGGTCGCCCGCCGCCAGGATTATCAACGTGCCTTCCTCCGCTTGAGTCTTGGACCCTTGGATCTGGAATAGAATATTATAAATAAATAAATATTTCCAACACTCACACCAATTAGCCTCGCCCCAAAGTAAGCACTGTAAGGCTTGTGTTATTGGATATACTAAGTAACGGATAGAATGCATGTATAATGCGATTCAAATAAGAATAGGAAAACCTCCATCTGTCAAAAATGTCACATGAAAAGTACGGTTTGCAAAAAATCTCGGAACACATTTTTTACCACTCAGCTAATTCTAGATTAAAAACCAAACATTTTTAAAGAAACAATAACTAATATTGATGATTAATATTGGTTGATTTTTTTTCATTTATTGAGCTTTGGCTATGGATGGTTGATAACCTAAATCGTCAACCAAATGTCACTTTATGTTGCGTTCAGAAACTCGATTTAAAACTTTCGTTTACTTAAAGAATGCATGTTCGTATGCGACCCGTATGATTATTCATAACTACTCCGGCGGTAATGCAGAGATGAATGGAATTGAAGAGCTAGATTCTGATTAATGTTTTTTCTCACACAGTCTTAATAAAGAAATATTATTAAAAATCGGTTTGTTTTTTTCTCAATCTTAGTAAATTAATTTTAGTAAAAAATCTGATGTTTCTTTCTCATTTATTCTTAGTAAATAAGTTTTATTAAATAGAAACTTTTTTTTGCTCACTCTATTTGGTATGAATTGACAGCTATGACGTCAAAATATGGCGCCCAGTCGGTCCTATTCTTGGTTGAATCGCATTATATATTATTATTATTGTATACATATACAGTGGTGGTCACATAATTAAAGACACCTCCTAATTGACCACAAAAAACTTACTTATGGTACTAAAATTAGCTAAAATTGGTATTTAGTCTAGTGTAATTGTTATTAAAGTATCATGGAGCACCCCCACTAGAGTCCGCATCACACAAATTTTGTTTGGAATCAAAATCGCCAAAGTCGGTGGGGTGCAGGGAGGTCAGCCCCGCTGTGATTGGACGCGTCAAGGTCAGATCATATACTCAGTGCAGCGAAGTGATGAGGGTAAGATCGATTTTAGAAAATATCGATATTTTCTATCGATAAACAATTTAGAATAGAGGCCTAGTACTTTGGTGCGCAAATGCGTAATCATACCCTCTCCACTTTCTTACAGAGTTCTAATAACATGACGCGACTAGTAACTACATACAATTTAATATGTAAGCAACACAAAAAAAAACACGTCCAGGACAAGAAGTATTAATGCAACGATATTAACTACCCTAGATACAACAACACGAACAAAATCGTGGCCGAAACGTGTCCAAAAGGTACATTGGACGATCCACGGAGGTCCGTAAGATGATCGCATGGTCAAAAACAATATAATGCCTTATTTAAACATTGAAAGTCACCTTTAATGCATACGGCATAAGGTCTTAATTAAAATGCATGCGTCAAGTTCGTAAAATTTTACGATTTAGTGTTATATGTGAAAGAATATAGACCTTATTTTTTTTTACTTTTCACGCGCAATTCTGAATGCGCTGTTAACAATATAGCAGGTACAGACCGCGAAGAAAAGAGATGGCTAAGGGCGACGTATAACCGACCATGCATTTGAATATCACAAATATTTTAAATTAAATCAGTTTATAGTAAGTATTACAACAATAAAATTTGCTTTAAAGGCGTTAATTAAAAAACATTAATTAGATACCCGTCGAAAAAAACGACACTTTGCGTACTATTAGTATTTTTCTGCATTTTTTCACGGAACTCTTTGGCATCTTGACTTTTCAACGGTCCGCGTGTGACTGTGTACTAAGAAGTGCTTGAGTGGAGTTCAAGCACTTCTTGATTGGGACCACAGACTATTTAGATATTGGGACACATTTTGAGCGGTCGTGGTGTATCTAGGGTATTTAATATCGTTAATTCTATGTCTTTATCTAGGTCATAAACTATGCGCACTTAATTTCATACAAATCCGTTTAACCGTTTTAGCGTGAAAGAGTAACAAATATGCATACAAATTTTCGCGTTTTTAAAATTTTATTAGGATATGTTTGACTTCAATCAAATAAAAACTGTTGGTTGTATACTTATGACATCTATTATTGTATACGATGAAATAAATAGTTTTTATTTATTTTTTCCATTTCCATAGCTGACAAACTTATCGACAAACTTACGCGTTGAGACATGAGCTGCGTCTGAGTCACTAGCAATACACGTGCCGCGCCGGCGTGAGAGCGAGATAGCATATATGATGTAGCCCATGCGAGAAAGGGATAGTGTAAAAAGACATCAACGCGTTCACCAAAAAATAAATACATTAACAGCAATTTAATATAACAGTATTTTTGTCTTTTTGTAATGCATTTAAACTAACCAGTGAAAAGTAATACCATTTTTTTCAAGACTGGAAGTTGTACTCGACTTTCCACACAATTTAATTGCACAATACGGCATTTTTTACAGTTTTTTAACACGAAAACGAGAGAAGCAGTTCGACCAACGCTCGGTTACCGAATGAAACGATGTATCGCGACGTCTGTAGGCGTGCCTCACGCATAGGTAATATACTACTTATGCTTGGCGTAAGCGCTTGCCCTTGTATGCGGACTCTAGTGGGGGTGCTCCGTGTTAAACTATACACGACGTTGTATTCTTACAATGTGGGACAAAAAATAGTTGTGTTCGTTAGTAGTTTAGGCACTGCTCACTATGGCAACGTAACACAAACTTTTAAACGTACTTGTAGCTGGCCAGCTAATTAAAGACAGTAAAACCTGTGTTCTGAATTTAAAAAAATTGAAGAAAAATCTGCATTCTGTTCATGCAACGTCGATATTACATATAAAACCTAATTTTTTAATTAAAATTAATATGTTTTAAGCTCTTGCTGGGTTTGGGAAATATTGGGCTATGGGAAAAAACAAGTGTTGCGATCCGTCCACTAGGAACATTATTTTCAATAATAAATATTGGTCATACAGAAAAATAGCAAACCACTTGAACTGTTCCAAGGACATGGTTATGAATGCTATATAACAATTAGGAAGTGTCTTTAATTATGTGACCATCACTGTATATAAGTAAATTTATATAACAATAAATATTAAACATCCATGACTGGAGTACAAATGCTCATATTCATCACACAAACCATCTGCCCCCACCGGGATTCGGACACGGTGTCGATTCGGCGACACCATGAAACTCGGCATATCAACCACGGGACCACGGGACCACGGAGGTCATCAATCAATCATAATATTCAATATTATAGTCAATATTGTTAAGTTGAGATGTTTAAGTCTAAATAAAATTTTACTAAAAAAAATCTACACGGACCAGGCTGCAGACGGGACTCAAACCCACACCCACCGCTATCCGGGCGGATGCACTGACCATTATGCTACCGTGGCCCTAATGGCTGTGTTGATTTTTCTCTAGTGTGACTTAGGCTGCAAGACAGCGCCATCCCTTCGCATTGTAGGCAACTCACAATGTCAAACGAATACCTTTACAAGTATTAAACCTTTGAAAAAAGATTTATTTAATTTTAAGCATTTAACTGCCAGATTTTAAAATCTAAAAAAAAAACGTAATGGCCGTGCATCCTCCCGGACAGCGGAGAGTGCAGGTTCGAGTCCCGTCTGCTGCCTGGTCTGCGTGGTTTTTTTTCTAGTAAATTTTTTTTAGAATATTGTAAATAAAAACTCTCTTACCGCGCGATAACGCGTCGTAACGTAACTTTCTCGTGACAGCAAAATCCTAAACCCCCCCCCCCCCTATCTGTATAGGTTTAAGTTCAATAAATTGTTCTTACACTCTTTTAAGAAAGGCAGGGCATGGCGGATTTCCCTATCGAATTTGAGCTCCCGTCTGGGAATGTAACCTCCACATTACAGAAGATCACAGTGAAACAACACTACCTTTTGGTAGTTTTGTGTTTCTGACGGTCAGTAAGGTTGCAGGGCTTCCATGGTAGGGGATGGTAGAGTAGGTAGCCCTTGGACTCGAGCAAGAGCCTCCAAATATCGGCCCCCCTTGCCGCTGATCGCCTCGACGATGTCGTGCGAAGTGTCCGCGTCTATGGAAGTCATCTCCACGTAGCCCTTGGACTCGAGCAAGAGGCACACCGCAGTTACCTTATAACTATGACATACCTGTGCCTCCAAATATCGGCCCCCCTTGCCGCTGATCGCCTCAACGATGTCGTGCGAAGTATCCGCGTCTATGGAAGTCATCTCCACGTAGCCCTTGGACTCGAGCGAGAGGCACACCGCAATTACCTAATAACTATGACATACCTGTGCCTCCAAATATCGGCCCCCCTTGCCGCTGATCGCCTCGACGATGTCGTGCGAAGTGTCCGCGTCTATGGAAGTCATCTCCACGTAGCCCTTGGACTCGAGCGAGAGGCACACCGCAGTTACCTTATAACTATGACATACCTGTGCCTCCAAATATCGGCCCCCCTTGCCGCTGATCGCCTCGACGATGTCGTGCGAAGTGTCCGCGTCTATCGAAGTCATCTCCATGTAGCCCTTGGACTCGAGCGAGAGGCACACCGCAGTTACCTTATAACTATGACATACCTGTGCCTCCAAATATCGGCCCCCCTTGCCGCTGATCGCCTCGACGATGTCGTGCGAAGTGTCCGCGTCTATCGAAGTCATCTCCACGTAGCCCTTGGACTCGAGCGAGGGACAGTGCAGCACACCGCAGTTGCCAAACACCATCTAGAAAGATACGGGTAAAATGCAATCACACTTTCGACTTCACTTCTTCAAATTTTTAAAGTGAAACTTTTATTACATCGCTACAACTTTTTATCTTCATATTTAGCACGTAGCATTATATTTTTGATTTTAATCAAAATTTTCTGACTTTATCAACAAGCATCGATGGCTCAGTGGTAAAAAGCTCGCCTGCTACGCGGGGGCGGCCCGAATTCGAATTCCAGCCGAGGACGTACTCTTTTTATTGATAATTTTCAAAGTTTCACTTGCATCGTAGTTTCATAAAACCTAAAGTCTAATATCTATTACTGGTTGCTTTAATAACAATTAGCAAAGTTTTGCATATAATTTGCATTTTTCACATACCTAATTTGCATTTTGCACATAATTTATTATATTAAAAACTGGAGCTATCAAATTCGGAAGCGCGATTTAATTTACAGAATCGTACTACACTTTTATCTAACTCAGGGTACCATCACCAAATTTTTTTCTTTTACCCGACTGCGAAACTCATGGAATACATTTTCAATTTCATAAAATCAGTGTTGTTTATGTAAACTATAATGCGAAATATACCAAAGCAGGCAAGCTGGCAGCATTATATTAACAACAAGGAGGATAACGTCTGTCAAATCTCCACTCTTCTCGAGTAAGAATAACTGGCAAGCTATAACTTGCTAGCAAGTAAGTATACATCGATGTAATGAAATGTGTAGTCAAACGATGTTACAAAAATAAAAGTCATGTTTATATTACGGTCGCGATAGTCTCGGATAAGCCATAAGGTCATTGGAAAGGTCGATAGCGGCAGTTTCCTATTTCAACCCGTTAACCTTTTCGCGAATGGCTATCTTTATTCTATCACGATATAACGTCGTTACTACCAAGACAAATTCAATAGGGTAAAAATATGATATAAGCAATAGGGATGATGACTAACTTGTATTTCTTCATCATCAGTACCCTAAATACGAGTTTTACAGTTACGAAAACTATTATAGTTTTCGTGAACTCGCACTCGTACTAAGGGTACTGATTTTATTGTTTTCGTTTCAATACAAATAAACAGTGTTTAAATTTTACCATTAAATCATTTGCGTCTTCTTAAATTTTAAGTATATTTGGTTACTTTTCACCAAAATGGATATAGAAACTAAGGATACAGGTAGATTATTAAAAAGTATTGGACACGTATTTTTTTCAAACCTATCACATGATTATATCGCAGGACGTCACGTCTTGGTACAAATTTTTACTTAGAAGTGACGACAGGTTCAGTATCGCAAGCGTCTTCAGGCTGTGTTGGCCGCTTTCAATTAGGAGGGCCATATGCTTTTAACACAAAAATCAGTTAATAGTCTGTATTGTACGTAATTTACCTCCTTTGCAGCCTGCGGGTCGGCCACACACGAGAAGGTGATGTCTGCTTCCTCCACAACATCGCATGGAGTCACCGCGATGCTCGCACCCGCCTTCTCGAAATCTTTGCACTGTTGACAAATTAATAATAATTAGTATTCGATTCGTACATGGAAACAAAGGCTGGTGGTGATTAATTTTAAGATTACTAAAGATTTTACTTTTTAATACAGTAATTTGAATAAAAAGATCTAGTTAATTTTATTGAACAACTAAGTATAACTCAGATCAATCTATAAAGTAATCTCTCCTAGAGTGAATTGAATGAAAAAACTGTAGGTAGGTAATTATTTAATCCGAAATAGATCAATTAAATAAATAGATTAAATCACACTCTATTTAAAATTATTTAAATAGAGTGTGATTTAATGTAATTTCAAGGGTATATATCATAAATAAATAATTAAATAGGTAAATATCTATACGTTTATTCCAACATTGATTTAAAGCTTGAGTTAAATCATTTTAAGGAGATAATATAAAAATTCTATCATTAAATTAAGATTATCATTTAAATCGCCTCAGCTTTCTAAAGATCTAGTAATTTAATCCGTTTTACAATATTTTATTCATCTATGTTACAGTGCGACATCTAGCGTTGCAAACACAAGACATTAGTTCTCAGCAGCGCCGCTAGATGTCGTTCAACGTTTTCGTCATACAAATCGATGGACGCACGCCTCGCCGCGACGTCCCCGCTCCCTCCCCCGACCCGCGGCGCGCGTCAACGACCCTACCTACACTGCCAGCCGACAGACACATCACGCCGGCCGTCGCCATTTTGATAACGGCTTTTCCTAACAATGATCAGTGTTCGACGGACAACTAGCTGACGCCGCTAAACACTGTGCCAGTGTGCCGTCCGAACCCATTTATTATATCAGACGCCTTGGAAACAAGACAGACTAGCTTGCGACCTAGACTTCGTCCGCGTTCAAGTAATTTTTTTGTGAATCCCACAGGAACCTAACATTTTTCTTGGATAAAAAGGATCCTATGTGTCAATCTAGCTAGATAATACTATATATATGCATATGTCAAATTTCATCCAAATCCGTTCAGTGGTTATAGCATAAAAGGCTCACAAAAATCCATAAATTTTCACGTTTTTAAATTTAGTAACTATCTAGGAAAGAAGTGGGATGGAATGCGTCTCCGCATAGCGCCTAAACCAGACTCGTCGCTAACGCAACGCGATGCAGATGCACAATGTACTGTCTTTATTACACATTCAATACTCTTGAAAAATCAATACTGTCAAATAACTTACTAGTTACCCTTGACCTTAGATAAATTGTAAGCCTTTAGCCCTGTAAGTTAAGTTACCTTTACGACATTTCCTAACACTGTCAGTAGTACTTAATAACTCATTTTAAAACAAATGCGGTAATAATGACAAAACAACAATTCATGTTGAAGAAAGTTATTAGGTACCTTTAAAAGTAAATCATAATGTAGCATAACCACAGAACTTATAATAAGAGGAATATAAGTTCTTATTATAAGTTATGTGAGCATAACCAATAAGTAGATACTGATGACACAGTACTTACTCGCACTCGTACTAATAAAATTCAAACATCTTTCAAACTTTTATTTTGTGGTGCCTTTTGTCTGAATAATTGTATAAAACCCATTTGGAATTTTACGCCACCTGAGGTATTTATTTTTCATATAACACATTTGTTAGCAGATACGTAAGTAAATAAGGAATCCTTAAGTAGAAAGATCACAAAAGGAAAATAACATATTGTTGAAAAATGGAGACAGAAGAACAAAAGGGGGAAAACATGTTGTCATTTAAACATTGGTAACAATAATAATAAAATTCAGAACTGCGAAATAGCTATAAAACATTGACACGCGCCTTTTTATAAGGTAAGAATGAACATTGAAGATATTAGAAGACGGTATAAAACCGTTTTAATATCTGCCATCCTATGTGGCTGGCAGAATAGGAGGTTACTTGATGAAAATGTTTGTAAGACATCAATGAAAACTAAGTGGTAAAGGAAAAATACGCACAATTAACGGTATAAATAAAATTCAAGCATTCAAGAATTGAAGTGAACGTTCAGATGAGAATAAAACATCGAGAAAGCATGAAATACCTACCTAGCAAAAAAATCAAAACGATATAATTCGACTCTAATGAACTGTTACTCCCAAAATTCGATAACAGCAAAGTGATTATATTGCAATACTTCACAGACCTTAAGTAACAAATTCTGGCTTATACTCTATCGAGGACAAGAACGGACTTATATAAATCATAAATGCATTCGCGAAATAAAAGGCTACCTAGTCTACGTTGTATTTGCTAATCCAACTTGATCGTTCATTGTTTTACATGCGTGGACTGGTGAAGGACGTCAAAAACTAGGACAGTCAGGCTATGTGACGTCACAAACTTGTGTGTCTAACCAATTATATTATTAATATCTACAACATTAGCCAGATAACGGAAGAGGAATCTTCTTATAAATAAAAACTTAAACGCATACAAAAGGAAAGAAGCTTGGATTTTACGCAATGTTTTGGTCACTGCTCATCGCATCAATTTGCAGAATCAGAATTTTATTAGATGTTAGAAACAGAATATAAACATTAGATTAAGAACGGAATTATTTTTCTCAAATACGTCTTTTGATGACTCTTTATAATACAAATAACTCCATTTATGTAAAGATAGGATATAAACACACATTACGATTACAGCATGAAAAGACAATGCATAGCCAAAAACTTGATATCTTTATGTTTATATTAATAACTTGGAATTTCCAATTAAAATTTGCATTTATTGACACAAATGGAAAACTAATTTCTTTTTTGATCTTTGAGTTGCTTTCATTACACACTTCGAATCTATTTCTACGTTTTCATCGATAAGAGGGTATGTGATCTATTTTATAGAATTGTTATTTTCGTTACCGAACGATTTAAACTGGTTTTGATGGCGGCACGTTATCTCGAATGTTTCAATATCAGCTCACCAAATAACTGCACTCGTTGGGTGACCTTGCGCTGTGGATAAGTAAGTGCTATAGGTATAATTCCAGATCGAAAGTGATCTACTGAGTGTTTCCAAATGAAGTGAGAGTATCTGAGGTCAATAAACAATTCTCCATATTCTAATTTTGGCTCGTTAGTAGAAAGATTATGTAACGGGTTTGTTTGTTTGAACACATTGTGTAACAAAGGAATATTTTCTTTACCTAAATCAAATAGTGTCTATCGCATATTCTTCTTATCACTGTATTTAATCTCTTTTATTTATTTGTGAAGATAGATTTAAACTGTAAATTGAAAATAAAATCTTTATCAAAGGACATAATATTTTCTTTCTTAATTAAGCATTTCATTCTCAATTAAAACGGTTCTAATGGAGCGAGAGTTACATTAAATGGCATTAGCCAACAGACCACATAAAAAAATAGGACTTCATTCAAATACAAAGAATACATTGGTGAGGTAACTGAATCATGTACGTATCAAGTAAATCAATTTGCATTCAATCAAAGGGAGATTCAGAACCGAAGCAAGAAGCCGTGTACTTTTCATATAATATTACCTACCACGTGTTTTATTGAAAAAAAAATAGGATAAAGTGAGTTGAACTTCTGAAAATTGGCGTTCACCCTGAAAATGTCACCGTGTGGGGCGTGGGAGCACAACGTTATTACGAACTGGATGTCACACAGCTTTATTATACATATCCAGGATTTGATTGTAGCTAAGCAAGCAAGCCAGCCAATCTACGCGTCTGTGGTTACATAACTATTACTGAAATAGTACCCAATTGAATCGTTCTAATCATATGTTTAAAACAATTCAACTGCAAATTGGCATTTAACAAGGTCTTTTCTATCCATTTAACATATGCGACATACTATCAAATGACTACACCACAATATCGCCCACGCAATACTACAATACGGAAACGGGAGTAGCTTTTCTATGTAGCAATAGTAGGTAATAAAAAAAGAAGTTCTATACTATGCTTTTGAGTATCGAGTTACACTTCAGAGAAAGTCTTGTCACGGCATGGTCACGGACACATCCTCATTAGAATATCGTTTGTTTTATACTTGAACGGTTTGTTCAGTGTTATAAACACCAAGAATGCCTCTGAAATAACTTTGACCCTAGCGATGCGGGTTATCAGTGACAGTTATGCGCGTCATTGCATTCCATTTATTTCTAGTCGGCTGTGATAAATGACATGGTTTTAGCGTCGGCGTTAAACAAATTCCAATTACTCTGCTTAAAGTTAATTGAAAGTTGTTAGCTGTTGTTTGTGCAGAAAAATCTTCCATCATCCTAAATGATTAGGTACAAATTATTTTCACACCGAGTGTAGTGAATCAATATGAATCTGCGACAAACGGGTCCGAGTGGCGGGCGTGAAGGTCACAATCCAGACGGCAAACTTCCTACAGTCTACCGACTAGGTATTATCAGAAATGGGCACCCACGTCGCTATTAGGTGATAAGTGTTTTTAACTCTTTTTCACATTATTTGTAGCAGTTACTCCACGTTTACACTACATTCTAGGTGAAGCGGATATTGGGTAAAGTCAACAAGCGAATGCAAATACTGACGGTCGATGACTGACTGAATTTTCCATTGAAATACCACGGTAATTAATTTTTTGCTACCAAGTGAGAATGCATTAAGGCACTTTTAGCAGAAGGGGAATAGCCAGATACTACCACAGGAAACATTACAGAACAGTTTTAGAACCGCAAAACAAGTAACTACATACTTACTAAATGCTGTACCCTGAACCCGTTTAATTGTAACGTCACGTTGCCCGTCAAAAACTTTTCTGAATGAAACCAGTTAATTTACAGAACGAGTTGCAACACAACAGAGGCGCGATCCACAATCACGTGCTATACAACACGTGCCTTATAAAACTCCAAATTCTTAGGTATATGGAAGACCGGGGCGCCCGCGACGCATTCGGCTACTCGGCTAACGGCCTACATAGATTATCGCAACTCAACAAAAACACTTGTTTGCCTTGTAAATTTAAACCCTATTATTCATAACATAAAGGCGGTG